GACCACCAATCAAACTCTGCTTCATGGCCTTTATCTTCACGCCACGCCGAAACCGCGGTACTTCATTGAAGCTGCTATTTCCTGGCACCCGCCAAGCGTATTTCCATTACTTATTAGACCATCAATAATTTTTTTCTTTGAGTAATGGATATTTCAGTCTTATGCTATGTTAGTGTTCAAAAAGACGTTTTTCTTTATTCTCAGAAGACTTCATCCAGCTCTTTTCCGCTTTCTCCCGGCGCAACTCGTTTTTTAACTGTTTTTCTTGCCATAGTTAGGCATAGTTGCCCAGGAACGCAGCAAGCTGATTATCTCATGTTGCATAACTCGTAGGAGTGATCATTCTTAGTTCAGCTGGTTTTTCATCCAGCGATTTGAAACCCAAATACGTTTCGTCTGTGTTGCTTGCGGATTTCTTGCGATGAGCGAAATGTCACCTTTAAAAATAACTATTTGGGATATGTTGCTGCAAAAGCAGAATCCTATTATTTTATTTTGATTTTTTTCTTCGGAGTTAATAAAGGCTTTCGAGAAGCAAGCGGCTTCTGCCAGCTCTATTTCTTGTGGGTTTAGCGAGTAACGTATTTTCTGCGCATGGCTCAGAGAGAGGCTCTTAAATGACTCGAGTGTGCACTGAGTTGATATCTTTACCTGTAATTAATGCAATTTTTGCAGAGAAGGAAGCGGGTCGAACTTGGTCGTGGTCCCAGCAAGTTCTTCGCTTACTGAGGCTCTTGTATCTTCACCAGTGTGCCGTGGAGAGGATGGTGCTGCCGCGCCAGTAGTTGCTGCGGGTGGTGGTGGATTTGAATTTGGCATTGATCCCGAGGATGATCCCGATCTGGCGCTGGTAGGCATTTCTGATCTCAGCACTTGAACTGCATCAACTGGCTTCACTAGTTTTTTCAGAAAAAAGAAAAACTTTTTCGTAATTTTCGTCTTTAAATTTCATGTCCTGGTTTTAACTCCCAAATGTGATTGCAGGCGCTTCGCGTCTCTCTGGAAGAACAGCGCCAGAGGCAGCGCGGTGGTGGTGCTGATGAAACGCCTTCTCAACCCGCTGATACTGCTGCGGGTCAGTCTAATTTGTTATTTTTGAGCTGAATTGACAGTAAATATGCACCATAATCTCCCGGCGGAAATGACAAAATCACACGTTGAAAGGGTTGGCACAAATTTCGTAACGCTTTTGACGCCTTCTAAATTTCGAACTGAAGAGACAGCGCCGGCCTTTTCACTGCCGCTGTGCTGAAGACAGCGACGGATGGATACAAGTCGTCGGTAGTAAGCAGAGCAATCGAGCAAATGCCGGTTGTGGCGGAGAGGGCAACGGAATGCTTGGAGTGTCTCTGCGTGATCATATAAGCAATCATGTCCTCTCTCCGATGAAGATGGGTGGAGGATGTCATTGGGACTAGGCCTTTGAGCAGAACATTTAGCTCGTCCTGTTGATAATCGATGAACATTGCGCATCAGTGAGTGACATCTGTCAGAAAATTGATATTCGCTTGGGCAGCATTCGTGAAATTAACGCAGGGCAGGAGCGGGTATCAATTAAAGGTGTGCCCTATGTTTCTGCCAGTAACACTACTAACATAGAATTCTCAAATCGATTGTCCAGGACGTCGTGGTAATTATGATTGTATGTGAAATGTTACTAAAA